TGGCCAGGCTGATTTCAAACTCCTGACCTCAAGTGATCCTCCTCCCTCAGCCTCCCAAAGTGCTGGGATTACAGGCATGAGCCACTGCTCCTGGCTGTCTTTTAATTTTTTTTTTTTTTTTTTTCAGACGGAGTTTTGTTCTTGTTACCCAGGCTGGAGTGCAATGGCGCGATCTCGGCTCACCGCAACCTCCGCCTCCTGGGTTCAGGCAATTCTCCTGCCTCAGCCTCCTGAGTAGCTGGGATTACAGGCACGCACCACCATGCCCAGCTAATTTTTTGTATTTTTTGTGGAGACGGGGTTTCACCATGTTGACCAGGTTGGTCTCGATCTCTCGACCTTGTGATCCACCCGCCTCGGCCTCCCAAAGTGCTGGGATTACAGGCTTGAGCCACCGCGCCCGGCCCATTATCTTTTAATTTTTATAATGTTTTGATGTTCAGAGATTTTAGAAATTATTTTAGGCTGGGTACAGTGGTTCATGCCTGTAATCCCAGAACTTTGGAAGGCCAAAGCGGGAGAATGGCTTGAGCCCAGTAGTTCAAGACCAGCCTGGGCAACAAAGTGAGACCCCGACAGCTGAGCATGGTGACATATGCCTGTAGTCCCAGCTGCTGAGGAGGCTGAGGCTGGAGGATTGCTTCAGCCCAGGAGATTGAGGCTGTAGTAAGCTGTGATTGCACTACTGCACTCTAGCCTGGGCAACAGAGCAAGACTGTATCTCGAAAAGAAAAAAGAGAAAGTAAAAAATTATTTTTAAAAAAAGTCATCAGAAGTATCTATCTATTTATAGCTTGTAGTGTTTGTGTGTGTGTGTGTGTGTGTGTGTGTGTGTGTGTGCGCCTTGCTTAAGAAATCCTACCCTGAGATCAATAAGATATCCTACAGAGTTTTCTTCTGGAAATTTTACTTTTCATATTTAGCTTTAAAAACCTACCTGAAATTCATTTTTATTTATTTGTTTTTTGGCCAGACGCAGTGGCTTACGCCTGTAATCCCAGCCCTTTGGGAGGCTGAGGTGGGCGGATCACGAGGTCAGGAGTTTGAGACCAGCCTGACCAACATGGTGAAACCCCATCTCTACTAAAAATACAAAAATTAGCCAGACATGATGGCGGGTACCTGTAATCCCAGCTACTCAGGAGGCTGAGGCAGGAGACTTGCCTGAACCGAGGAGGTGGAGGTTGTAGTGAGCCAAGATTGCACCACTGCACTCCAGCCTGGGTGACAGAGCGAGACTCCGTCTCAAAAAAACAACAAGAAATACGTATCTTCTGATAATTACATGAGATAAAACGTGGGAAAGAGCTTTGAAATGATACATCGCAGCATAAATGTATTGTCCCTGGCCACATGCAGATGAATGTGGTGCCACTAGCAACTACCTGAGGGTTAGAGGTTGTCAGGCACAGCAGGTTTATTTTTGAGACAGAGTCTCACTCTGTTGCCAAGGCAGGAGTGCAGTGGCACGATCTCGGTTCACTGCAACCTCTGCCTCCCACACCCAGCTAATTTTTTTTTTTTTTTTTTAAATAGGGAAGGGGTTTCACCATGTTGGTCAGGCTGGTCTTGAACTCCTGACCTTAAGTGATCCGCCCACCTTGGCCTCCAAAATGTTGGGATTACAGGTATGAGCGACTGCACCTGGCCAGGCACAGCCAGTTTAGATTGTATGTAGTGAAGGGGAGGGTAAAAGACACAGAAGGACTGGTCATATTTGACTCTCGTTGTATGTGGGATTAGATTTCAAATTAGAGCATTAGGTCAAATCACATATAGTTAAACTTATCTACTTTTTTTTATTTTGAGATGGAGTGTTGCTGTCAGCTAGGCTGGAGTGCAGTGATGTGATCTTGGCTCACTGCAATCTCTGCCTCCTGGGATTCAAGTGATTCTCCTGCCTCAGCCTCTAGAATAACTGGGATTATAGGCGTGTGCCACCATGTCCGGCTAATTTTTGTTTTAGTGGAGTTTTGCCATGTTGGGCAGGCTGGTCTTGAACTCCTGGCCTCAAGTGATCCGCCCACCTCAGCCTCCCAAAAGACTGGGATTACAGGAGTGAGCCACCGTGTCTGGCTAAAATTGTGTACTCTTAAAAGTCCCCATGCTTGCCTGTAGAGCATCTCTCAGAAAATCTATTAGATTCATTTCATCCTCCAGTGTGAGAACAGATTGTTTCTTCATCATTTGGGCACCAGATGAAATAGTGATCTTAGGTTTTGAGGCCAAACTGAATTAAAATCTTAGCATCACACAGTGAGCGACGTGTGGAAACTGAACCAGCTGAGGGAATGGCAGATTTACAGTTTACATCATTCTTTTTTTTTGAGACAGAGTCTTGTTCTGTTGCCAGGCTGGAATGCAGTGGCATGAATGCAGTGACGCGATGTTGGCTCACCGCAACCTCTGCCTCCTAGGTCCAAGAGATTCCCCTGCCTCAGCCTCTCGAGCAGTGGGAACTACAGGCGTGGGCCACCATGCCCAGCTAGTTTTTTGTATTTTAGTAGAGATGGGGTTTGACCATGTGTTGGCCAGGATGGTCTCGATCTCCTGACCTTGTAATCCACCCACCGTGGCCTCCCAAAGTGTTGGGATTACAGGCGTGAGCCACCACACCCTGCGCATTCATTCTTTAACAGATACTTACAGATCGCCTATGTGCCAGATGCTGTAGGCCTAGACCAAGAACCCTTGCTTTTCAAGGTCTTACCTTGTAGCCAAGAGGCAGATGATAAACAAGCAAAACGTAATTGCTAGAGAGTAGTAGTACTGTGACGATAGAGCAAGGAACAGATTAGGAAGTTCTTGAGTGACTTGGGAAGGCCTTCTGGGAAGTAGGATTTCATTTTCATAAACTTTGCAGGAGAAGTCAACTCTGTGGATATGGAGAAGGGGGAGAGAGCAGAGAGAACAACCAGTGCAAAGCCCCTGAGGCAGGCAAGAGGGTGCCTGCCTGTTTGAGCCCAGTGAGTGGAGGGAAGATGGGGAGGAAGCTGGGGGTGAGGTTGGAGGGCCTGGTTGACCTTGGCCTGTGCTTTGGGTGAGACAGAACATTGGAGAGTTTTGAGCTAAGGAGGATGGTACGTGTTTACGAAGATCACTGTGGTTTCTGTGTTGAGAAAAGCCTGAAGAGGGACAGGGAGGTATAATGTTTAGGGACTGTTGCAGTGGCCTTGGTGAGACCGGTGAGAACTGATTAATTCTGGATATTTAGAAGGTAGAGCCACCATTGCATTCGCTGTCAAATTAGATGTGGGGGATCAAACAAGATGAGTTCAAGGGAACCTCCAAGGTGTGTAGCTTGAGTCAAGGGATGGATGGACTCACTTTTAGTTGAAGTGAGGAAGCCCTAAAGCCTCATGTGGGAAGAACTACAGTGGTGGCAGTGGTAGAGATGGGGGTAGGGGAGGCCAGGGTCTCAGTTTAGGTCAGGTTAAGTTTGAGATTCTGCCAGACACCAGGGAGAGCTATGGGGTAGGTGGGTGAATATATGTATATCTGGCGCTCAGGTAGGAGTTCAGGCTGGAGATCTATGTTTGAGGGTCATCAGTGTATAGGTAGCATTTCAAACCATGAGGTGGGATGAGACCTTCCAGGGAAGGAGAGCAGGTAGGGAAAAGGTCTAAGGACTGAGCCCCTGGGTTCTCATCATTAGGAGGTTAGATGAGAAGGAGCCAGTCATGAAGACTGGGAGGGAGTGGCTGTGGGGGGATGGGTGGAGACTCAAGAGTGTGGTGTCCTAGAGCCGGTGTCTAAGTCAGAGGAGCTCAGAGTTATTCCTCTCTCTCTGAGCATGAGCAGTTCATTGGTGAACAGAGAATGTGAAATACACATGATGCGGTTTCACTGTGGCAGGTTTGAAAGCGCTCCGCACCAGTAGTGTGTGGAGTCTAGGAATGGCAATTGTAATGAGACATCACAGTGTAAAATTCCTGACCTCTGCTCTAGTACAGCCTGGGGACAGATGTCTGGGCCAAGAAGGGCTTCTCTGAGACACAGCATGAGACAGTGGCCTGGCCAGAAAGACTTGGGCATACATCTAAGGGCTGTAAGCCTCAGTTTCCCCATCTGTAAAATGGAGCTCTAATTGCCGTCTCTACCTGGGAGCATTTTGTGAGGATTCAGAGAAACTGCACATGAAATGCTCCACCAGGCCCAGGAACTTACCAATGTCTTATAAACGTTAATGATTCTATATTACCAGGCCTTGGTCAGGGGTTCTGAAGGCTCAAGTGCAGCCCAGGGCCCATGGGGACACCCCAGTGCAGATCTACTCAACCATTTCTTTTTTGAGACAGAATCTCACTTTGTAGCCCAGGCTGGAGTGCAGTGGTGTGATCTCAGCTTACTGCAACCTCTGCCTCCCGGGTTCAAGCGATTCTCCTGCCTCAGCCTCCCAAGTAGCTAGGACCACACAAGTGCTTGCCACCATGCCCAGCTAATTTTGTGTCTTTTTAGTGAAGATGGGGTTTCACCATGTTGATCAGGCTGTTCTCAAACTCTTGGCCTCAAGTGATCCACCCACCTCGGCCTTCCAAAGTGCTGGGATTAAAGGCCTGAGCCACGTTGCCTGGCTATTCACATTTTTTTCTTTCTTTAAAAAAAAAAAAAAAAAAAGATGGGGTCTTCCTCTGTTTACCCCTGGAAAAAAAAAAAAAGACAGGGTCACACTATGTCACCCAGGCTGGAGTGCAGTGGCTATTCACAGGTGTGATCCCATTGCTGATCAGCACGAGAGTTTTGACCTGCTCCGTTTCCAACCTGGGCTGTTTTACCCCTCTTTAGGCAACCTGGTGGGCCCCTGCTCCCGGGAGGTACCATGTATTGATGCTGAACTTAGTGCGGACACCCAATTGGCATAGCGCACTATAGCCCAGAACTCCTGGACTCGAGCGGTCCTCTAGCCTCAGCCTCCTGAGTAGCTGGGACTACAAGCACGCACCACCGCGCCCCGCTATTCAACCATTTCTTACTCCCCCGCTCAAGAACTCACACCACTCTTGTCATTCCAAGAAATCTTAATTTCTTTATTGTTTGACTTTTTGACTCAACAAATTTTTTTTAACTTTTTATTTTTTTCTGAAATGTTCTTGTTGTTATGAGCCTTTTGTTTTGTTCTCGTTAAATGCACTCGACCCAAAATTGGTTTGGCATATCGAAAAGGAGACCAAGGAGGGAGGGGCTGGGGGCATGGGAGGCGGGAGGAGGCCCGAATGGACAGAAAGTTGAAGATGAGAGAAGAGGAACATAGAGACAGCAAGAGAGACATGGGGAAAGAGAGGTGGAGGCAGAGAAGGAAGGCAAGGGAAAGCCAAAATAAACTAAAATCCAGAGGAAAAGAATTAAAGAGATTTAGGAGCAAATGAGTTCAGGAACCCAAGAGAGGAGGAGAGGAAACCAAGACCCTTCTCTGTACCGTCCCAGCTGGGGTGGGGCGTCAAGGCACCAGGTCTGGTTAGGTTGGGGGGACACCTGGGCTCTGGGGGCGGCTTTGCACTGGACTGCAATGGTGTCCAGCCCCAGCAGGGGGCCCTGCCACACAGCTCTGAGGCCTAGCAGCCACCGGGCGATGCTGGCTGGAACTGGACCTGCTATATACCCTCTCCCTTTGATTGTCCAAGTCTGGAGAGATACAAGCAGGGCTGGGCAGGGAGGAAGCGGGCCTCCCTTTGCGTCCCAGCCCCCATGAAACTCTCCAGGCCCTCCTCCTGGTGTCAGGGGCAGCCGCAGGCTGTAACTGAGCTGCTGCCCGGGCCGGGCTGGCTCCTCACCTGCCCATGCCTCCTGCCCGCTCTTCAGAGACATCTGACTGCCCCTCCACACAACAGAGCTCCCTGCCTAGTGCAGTCCAGGAAGGGCCACAAACTGTCCCCGGCCTCACTTCTCTTCCCCATCTAGACTTCACCAATGGTCTTCTGGTTTAATGGGTTAGGCCTTTCTACCAGAAAAAGCCAGAGATGGAATCCAACCTCACCTCTTCCCCACACCTGTTCCCTTAGACGGGACAAACCACCATCTTTGGTCTGACCCCTTCTCCCCTAATTGATGGGGACAAGCCAGCCCCAGCTCCCCAGGAGAAGGGAGGGGCTTTCTAGCAGCAAAAAGGGTCCCTCCAGCCACCTACCTGTCCCTTTCCCCCAGTTCCTTCCTAGAGTCCCTCCCCCTTAACCCAACAAAGTTCATGGCAGCAGCAGGCTGAGACCCGAAGATGTTTGAAAACTCATGGCACTTGTGAGAAAAGAGGGAGGGGCAAAAGAGATGGGAGAGGTCAGAGCAGAGGTGGAGGGGCCACCCCTGGGGAAATGGCAATGCAGGGGCTGGGCTGGGGTGCCCTCGGGACTACGCTACCCCTAGACTTGAGGGGAGGGGGCTGGGGAGGCTGAGTTGACATGCTGGAGAGGAGGGGGCTGCAAGAGGTGCTCAGGAGACATCCCAAGCCTGCAGCTTCCAGGCCTGGGATTTGGGGTCAAGCCTCCCAGAACATGGGTATCCTGACCCCAGCCCTGGCTTCCTCTCCCCTGCAGGAGGGTGGAGAGTAGGGAAGGTGATCTCACCTTTGCCTCTCCCCCTCCCTCAGACAGAAGACCACTGTACCGCTCCTAGCACCCTCCTCAGCCATACCCATGCCCTTCACGACTCCAGTTCCTCTCCATTTTCCTTCCCCCATCAACTTCTCTAGGTGGGAAATCAGCCCCATCTTCCCCGGCTAGAGTCCCCAAAACAATACACAAGAAGCAGGAACTCAAAGGGACAGCGCAGCCATCTTGGCAAAGCATCTTTGGGTGTGAGGGGGTCTCCCCAGGGCCAGTAGGGAGGGGAGGGGGAGACAGGCCTCTGGTCCTGGGGCAGGCAGTGAGGTACACGCCCCAGGAGGGCTGATGATGCCAGGCAGGTGGAGCAGGAAAGGAGGGGACAGAAATGGGTGCCAGGAAGGAAATGGGTTCTTTGTTTCGCTGTTGCATCTAGATTTTGTTTTCTGTCTCTGGATTGTAAAAAGCTGCTCTGGCGGCCCGCCCGCCCGGGCAGGGACTGGGGATGCACGTATGTCCATGGAGAAGTCCCGGCTGCCAGGCCGGCAGCGCCACTCTGCTCCGGAGAAAGCCCGGGCTGCCCACTCGGGCAGCAGGCTCCCGGTGGCTTCAAGTGATGAGATTTTTTTTCTTTTCTATTTTTGTCTTTTTTTTTTTCTTTTCCATTTCGTTGAAATATTTACAGCAATGGGGGAGGAGGAGGAGAGAGGAAGGGATAAGAGGGCCCCCTAGGGAAAGATCCAAGCCCAGGACCCACTCCCCAGGGAAATCCAGACCCAAAATCTGCTTCCCAGATAGCCGAGCCCACAGGACTGGGAACTGCCCAAATATGGCCACCCCTATGGGCTGGGGGCCCTGCAGGGAGTTGTGCTTCATCAGGAGTCACCCCAAGGGAGGGGGTCATTGGGTGCACTGGGAGGTGGAGGGGGCAGGCTTGCTTGGGGGGCAGGGACCAAGAGCAAGGGGAAAGGAGCTTCAGAGAAAGTTCGACCTTTAAACCACCGCCCAGTCCCCCTGCCTGCCGCCTTTTCCCAGTCTCCAGGGAGCAGGGAATTGTAGCGCAAGGAGGAACGTGTCCATGCGTCCCACCTCGCTGCTCCCGCTGGGTGCAGCCAGCAGCATTTCTGACTGCCGAGAGGGGCAGCTGACAGGTGCCATCCAGTGGGGCCTTTGGCAACCTGAGAAGCTGCCCTCCCTGCCCAGGGAAACTAAAGCCCTCATTTCCCTTCAGGCAGTGGCAAGGGTGGGAGAGGGGAGAATCCGGAAGTGGGCTGTACCCTTCCAACTTCTCCCTCCTCACTCCCCTGGGACCTCTGGGCTCCTCACTACACTTCCCCCAAATAGAGCTGGTGCATGTGGCTGGTGGGAAACCCTGTCTGTGAACCCTGGCACTTCAGGCCCCTAGGTCAGAGTCCCTTGAGGGGACTGTAGGGCCCATGGCCGAAGGGCATCAGGAGAGAGTGGCCCACCAGCCACTGCCTCCGTCTCCCTCTCCCACCAGAGCCTTGCCCAGGGTTCCCTCCCTGGCCTGGGCCACCAGCCCCTGGTCCATGAGGTCCCCTCAGAGACTGGTGACCAGCTGCATCTGCCCATCCCCATCGGGCCCTGGCCCCTCAAGGCCTGGGGCTGCCAGGTAGCCCTCGTGGCTAGGCCGCCGTACCTGGTAATAGCCCTGCAAGGGATTCCGGGCCACCAGGGCTGGCGGGCGCGAGGTGTAGTAGATTTCAGGGGGGCCAGGGGGTGCGGGAGGGGGTGGGGGCAGGGCCTCACTGGGCCCCTCGGGGCTGCTGTCCGGGTAGGAGGGTGAGTCCCGCAAGTTGGCCCCGCTGGCATAGAGGGAGTCCCGGCCCGGAGGGGAGGAGAGGGGCCGGCTGGCAGCGCCGTCCTCAGCCGTGCAGCTCTCCGACTCGTCCAGATCACTCTGGTACAGCACCGACTGGGCCCGGGGCAGCAGCAGAGGCTCCTCCAGGGCCTTATAGAGAAGTTCAATCTCTGCCCGGTCAGCACCCCCGGGCCCGCCTGCCTCTTCCTCGCCTCCGCCCCCTGGTCCAGGCGGCACAGGGGGCTCAGGTGGTGGAGGGCCCTTGGCCGCACTGCTGCTCCCCCGCAGGTTGTTGTGCACCAGCTCTGAGATGATCATCTTCTCGAAGGCCGCGGCGTCGGCCAGGTTCCGGCCTCGGGGCGGCTCGGGGCCCCCATCCCCAGGAGGGAAATCCCCGCTTCGCAAGGAGTAACTGTTGTTGAAGTTGCCGTTCAGGGGCAGGGTGTCCATGCCACAGGCTTCCCGGCCTCCCAAAGGGTGCTCTACAGGGCAGAAAGGGGCTGGTCAGGTGGGAGAGGAGCCCTGGCTGCACTTGGGGGCCGTGAGGGGATATGGTCTGTGGGGAGAAGTGGGGCTCCATTCCTGCTGGTTTTCTGTGGGCTTCCCCCTGCCCCATGGGAACTCTGGTCTGACACTCCCTTTCTCCCTCAATGGCAGTAGAGAGAGCAGCCCAAAAGTAGATTGCTTAAAGTTGGGGGACAAGGACCAGTTCCCCCAGGGTCTCGTCCCCCAGCTGGAGGTTCAGAATCTCAGCAGTATGAGGAGGCCTGGGCAACAGGATCCCTCTCCTGTGCTCAGACCCTCACACCTAAAGGCCCAAACTCAACGACCACCACCCATTATCCTCCATCTGGCTGCCAGACTGTTCGGTGGGGGTGGGGGGATGGGGAGGGCATCCCAAGTTCTCCTCCTTAAGCGAGCCCGTCTGAGAAGGCCACTGTCTGTCCCTCTCCCAGTCTCGGAAACATTTCCAGGGAAGAGTAGCACTTACTGGGTTCCCGGTAGCTCCCTGCAGATGGCAGCCAGGAGAGAAAAGAGAGAAGGCAAGGGTGAGCTTGAAATGCCAAGTCCAGGCTCCAGTTCTGGGGCATAGAACATCCCAGGCGGAGGTCCCCCTGGGATGTAAACCCCACATTTCCCGGCTTGGATGCTTCCCCTGTGCCCTCACCTGGGGAGTTGAAGACAGGGGGCGAGGAGGGATTGAAGCCCACCGACTCGGCGATGAGGGTGTTGTAGGGGCTGGTGCCCCCACGGGGCTGCAGCACAGGGTTGGTCAGCAGGTGGTTCCCCATGGTACCTGGCCAAGGGATCAGAGGTCACAAGGCGGCCAGGAGCCTCGAGAGGCCAGAGCCAGAGGCAGAGGGACCCTTCTCACCTCGGTTCAGGGTGGGGGTGCTGTTGATGTCACCCGCCATGAAGGAGGACTCTGTCTGTTTCCTCACAGTGTCGTTCCACATCCTCCGAATTCGGCTCTGGGGACACAACCCAGATGTGAGGGGACCCTTGGGCCACCCACCCTCTGGCATCTGAGACTGCTCGCCCGATCATCACAGACCCAGGCCAAGCCACTCCCCGCTTCTCAGGCTCCAGGTTCCAACACTCAGCCCCAGGGAGCCCTGCCTGGTGTGATACCTGGGTCCCTGTGTAGTAGCGGGTGTTGCTTCGCATGGCTGAGGTCTTGAGGGACCCATGAGTGCCCCCGGGTGGGGAGCGGATGCAGCAGTAGGAGTGACGCAGGCACTTGCTGTACTCCTTGTGCACCTGGGGGACGAGGAGGACAGTCAGCTGGCCAGGGCGCTGGCCTCCTCTGTGATCCAGCCTCCCACAGGGTTGGCACAAGATAGCCTCAGGAGGCCGGAGACAGAGCTTCCAATGACTATGTTCCCCTGCTCAGTGACTTGCAGGCCACAGAAACCCTGCTGTCCCATCCCCCAACAGCCAGCTGATCAGGTTCTCCACTGCCACTGACCGTTTTTCATTAATTCATAAAAGCAACAGAGAATTAATAAGCATCCGCTATGTGCCAGGCACATACTAGGCCTCGGGGATGGTACAGAAAACAACAGACACAAATGCCTACCTCTCAGAGCTTATATTTCAGTAGACAGAGACACAAAATACATGAAAATGTAAATATAAATATGCAGGCTATCAGATGATGTTCGATTCTGTGGAGAAAACTATGGCTGGAAAGGGGGTTAGGCAGTGCTGACTTGGGAGCAAGTTGTGATTTTAAATAGATCAGGGAGCATGGTGGCTAGCAACTGTAAACCCCAGCACTTTGGAAGGCCGAGGTGGGCAGATCACCTGAGGTCAGGAGTTCGAGACATGCCTGGGCAATATGGTGAAACCCCCGTCTCTACTAAAAATACAAAAATTAGCCAGATGTGTGGTGTGTGCCTTAATCCCAGCTACTTGGGAGATGAAGGCAAGAGAATCGCTTGAACCCAGGAGGCAGAGGTTGCAGTGACCCAAGATCACACTACTGCACTCCAGCCTGGGTAAAAGAGTGAGACTCTATCTCAGAAAAAAAATAACAATAATAAAATTAAAAACCTAAAAAAATAAATAGAGGAGGCCTCATTCAGGCCGGGGCAAGGACAGGAGCTGTACCCTGAGGAGGGTCCACATCTAGGTGTCTGAAAGCAGAGCTAGGGAGGGGAACCGAGGGTCCCAGATCAGACCATAGGGACCTAGGGGCCCCTGAAAGGACATCACTGTCACTGCATGTGAGGTGGGGGCTGTGCAGACACTGCCTTTGACTGTGTGTCCAAGGAGGGACCAGGACAGTGGTGGGCAGAGCAGGGACACAGACCACCTCTTCCCTTGCAACGAGAATTCTCATGACTGTTGCCTCTGCCATCCCCTGCCTTAAGCCTTACCCGCTTCACCATTCCCCAAGTCCAACAGCAGTCTCCATGGCCCGCACTGCCGCCAGGGCCGACTCGACAAATGCCTCAGCTCTGTCTCCCCAGCTTCAGTCCTGAGGGTGCTGCCTGGACCCTCACTCCCTGCCCACATTCCCCTGATACTGTTTCCCCCCCCACCTTTTTTTTTTTTTTTTTTTTAAATACCGAGACAGGGTCTCTATGTTACCTAGGCTGGTCTTGAATTCCTGGTCTCAAGGGATCCTCCCACCTCAGCCTCCCAAAGTACTGGGGTTACAGGCACGAGTCACTGCACCCAGCCCTTCGTATGTGTTTGTTGTTGTTTTGTTTTGGAGATGGAGTCTCACTCTGTCACCCAGGCTAGAGTACAGTGGCATGATCTCGACTCACTGCAACCTCTGCCTGCCGGGTTCAAGCGATTCTCCTGCCTCAGCCTCCCAAGGAGCTGAGACTACAGGCACC